AGGATTGCCACACTTTGGGATCGCTGTGCTTTCGACGATTGAACATCAACTTCGACCAGCTACATTTTGAATCAGGAAAACTGCTACTGATTGACCGCCTTTTGCTGTTTCTACCTAAGCCCTGACATAATTGACAACACTTTTGGTCCAGCCTTTTGTCATGTACATGCCGTTCACTGAACATGATGCACATATTTTGTAGATCTTTGTTGATCTGTCTATTTCGCAGCAACAACTACCACCTGGCTTAATCAGGTAGTTCAGTCAAACTGTGAATCTATTGTGAATGCTTAGGACACATTTTGGGAATTACTTTTGCATAGGTACCTATATTCAGTGTTAGACAATATTGATATGCAGATGTCCTTAATGGAATAAGTTGCAAGGGGAAAAACACATATTCTGAGACGAAAATTGGTGTCCAAAAATAAAACACATCCCGCAGCGCGGGCTTATTTTATTTTATTTTGTCATAGAAACCCTTGCGGATTAACTAGGTAAGCACGAGAGAGCCACAATACAACGGCTTCTTCGTGAAATGATAGTCAAAACAAATAAGAACAATTAAAACGAACATTACAAGAGCCAGAGTAGCATAAGGCATTACGTGCCACAACATGGGCAGCCCGATTCGCTTCTCTAGGAGTAAAAGCAACAGAAACCAATGGCAATTCTTGCAACATAAAGATGACTTCTCGTAAGATAGCCCCCACAATGGCATCATTGGCATCAGAAGCCTTCAAATGTTGTACAACTGCAATAACTTAAAACCAAAAATGAAATGCTGCTGATGGGTTTCGAACCCAAGCCAAAAAATTAGGCTTGCAAACTGCCATCCGCTGGACTGCAATCAACATTCTTTGTTCAATTGTGTACGCTTATTAATATGAATCATCTTGCAGCGAAGCGCGGGCTTATTCCTAGTAGTAATAACTTAAAACCAAAACTGAAATGCTTCTGATGGGTGTCGAACCTAAGACATAAATTGGCATTGCAAACTTCCATCCGCTGGACTACAATCAACATGCTTTGTTCAATTGTGTACGCTTATTAATATGAATCATGGAAACAATTTGCTTGCCACTTAACCAACAAAAACCTATTTGTCCAAGTTGATTAACGAGCTCTACATATTGTGTACATTTGAGGGCCAAAAGCAGCAACCATTGGGCCAGAAGGCAACCAAACTAGCATCCCAAGTCAATTAATCACTTATTGAAAGTCTTCTGGACTTATTTTGTTCATGAAAACCAGCCATTATTATATAGCTGTAGTGAAGTGTGATGTTTATTTTCAAGCTATGTGGTAGAATTGTTGCTTCCTACGTTGGACTATATTGTTCAGCTTGTAAAACTAACGATCCTAGCTAGCTATGTATAGATTTTGACATTTTTTGCAATCATTCGTTCCTATTGATAGATGTTTATATTTAAGCACGTTCGTATTTTTATTTTCAAGTTCGCTCTTGTTATTAATTTTCAAGTTCGCTCTTTCTTATTAATCACGAATACTAATTTTTGATTGTTTGTGGCATGTAGTGTAGTATGAAGCAACAAACAACCCATAAGGAAGCAACAATTCATTAAGAAGGCAGGACCCGTACAAAATAACATTGTGTTCACACACTTAGTACACTTGGATAACAAGAGAAATGGCATTAAGGCCGACACTAAGCAAATTTAGTAGATTTCTATTGACATTGCTGTAATGGTATTCAGTTTCCACGAGGAAAGAATAGTTTGACCAATAACAGCTCAAAATACCCATGGTTCCAAGGACCCAATGTGACCATAAACTCATAAGAGTTTCCACCAAGCAAGTTGACAAGGGTAACGAAATCGGCATTGGCCATGTCTTCATCACTTACTACATCTGAAAGGATTTTGCGTAAGTTTGCCGATGGGAAAACAACCTCAACATCCAAATAGTCATCCTCAATAACTAAGTGGATCAAATGAACTCTAGATGCAGCACACCATGATGTCCTCAACTCGGTGACACGTCCAGAGAAGAGGTAAGAAGTGCCCTGGTGTTTAAACCAACAAATGGATTTTCAAAAAAAAATTAACAAGCATTAACAAACAGAAAAGTGCAAACGAGAGCGAGAATGATGAATGACAAAAAAAATTTATTTCAATAACCTCAACGTCACCATTCTCTTGCAACAATATAAGACTGAGTGATTCCGTAAATTCAGACATAGTTACTGCTTCCTCATACCGCAGGTTTGCAACGAAACCAGGCTCAACCATAAAATCCCTACAAATAAAACCGTTACTAATGTCTGACCATACGAAAAGGAAGCGGAGTAGACAGTCTAAGGATTAGTTGGTAAACAATACTTACGGGTACCATTCAGATACACGATCCATTGTAAGAAAATTACACCTACGAGTATAACAACACACTACGTCAGATACTCTAATCCACCGTACCAAATAGTTAAAAAGCATTTACAAAAATGTACCTGCGGCGGTGGAAACGTGGTCGGCGGCAACTCCTTGTTAGTCCGGGAAGGAAGGAAGACGACGATTAGAATTCCTTTTTTCCACAGGATTTTCCTTCGCCTGCTCTTCTGTCAACGGACGACAACCCTACCCTTGCTGCTCTCTCCCTAACTTTCTCCTGCCTTTCGTCCTGGGAACTTTCTGCCGCTCTTCTTCCCACAACCCCTCGAGCGAATCAGCGGCGGCGGTGGCAGGCGACGATGGTGGCTCGGAGGTGGAGACCGGTATTGAGCGACCGCCGACCAGCGGTGGATTGACTGGCGGAGGCGGAGGCGGAGGGGGAGGCTTGCATGCAAGGGAGGCGGAAGCAAAGGAAGGAGGAGGGCGGTTAAGTTTTCTTTCTCAAGGAAAACAGACAAGCCTGCGCATGGGGGGAAGAAAAAGCAGGGATATGGATCGATTGCTTGATTTTGTAGGGGGGGCTTTCAGTTGTTCAACTTTGCCATAATTGATCTGTGTTGGGAGAATAAAAATAATGCCCAAGGCCAAAAGTAGTTGTGCCGCCGATCTGCTATTGCTAAGGGCCTTATTGGGCCTGGTACAAAAGGCATGTTCGAATTCACATGAGGCCTTTTTAATGGCCAAAAAATACGAGGCCTTTTTAATCAATCGGATTATTTAGAGAACAAATAATCCGAATCGATAGTGAACAAATAATTAGGATCTCAAAACAACCTATGGTACTTTAGCTGTCTACCGAATTTCACTGATCATCTAGAATGACAAAGAACAATTATTCCACGTGATAGGATCATCTCCGACAAAAATCTCATAAGATCTTCCTTGATCTATCATAACCTCATCGTGACTTGGCCATAGGTATCAATGTCATGCTAGTGCCTGATATAAATATATTTATAAGGAACAAGACATTCTACCTCAACCGACAAACTTCTATCAATGTAAAACTTCTATCGATGTCAAGTCTCACTTTTCAACTATAATGTTATATACTATTTTACATGCGTCTTAGTATATGAAATCGTGTCAAGGCAGAATATTGAACCTCAACCGACAAACTTCTATCAATCCATTTTACACGCATCAGTGTCAAGGAAGAATATTGAACCATTCGGAACATGGAGCTTTCACGTTTATAAGTTTGTCAAGGCAGAATTTCAAACTTAGTCACTAGACTGCGCTACAGCCTACAAATGCCCTTTCACGTGGTTTAGCAAAGGTTTGTTTTGGGATGTACTAGTCCTTTGTACTAGTTTTGGGTTAACGCAAAGTTGCAAGGTGGAGGTGGGCACAACGGTGGTGTGTGACAAAAATGACATGTCGTGTAGAATTACTATTTATGAATAGTTGTAAAATAAAATTCTAAATAGAAAAATGAAATTTTTTCCAAAAACTTGACTAGCAAGGAGAGGGTAATCAACTATGAACAAGTGATTTCAAAGAAGAAACATAAAACCGCTAATAATTATAAAAAAACTAAATATAATGGTTGAAACTAGTATTCGAACCCTACACCTATTCTAGCAAACTTAATAGTAAACTACTAGCTTAACCACTAAGTTTGCCAACGTTTCTTGTTTTGTATGCTAAGTTTATGGAAACTATAAGTGTGATGATGTTAGCCCACATTCCATCTCGTGAGTGGTTGAGAAACGATCAGACGCTTCACTTCGATCGTCTTCTTCCTGTTCGTATTTCAAATTTCAGTTCTTTTTTTTTAAAATTCGAACTTCAGTTTTTTGCTCCACATAAATTCCCAAAATTTCCATAATAGCATACTGATACAACATGGTCCTATTATTGATTTTGAGGGTATGGCATATCTAGTTTTAACACAAATATGTGCGATAAACAAAATTCGCAGAACTTGACCCAGGAAGGTTTGACATCATCAATGATAGAACATTGAGGCGCCGCCGTTGATCTGTTAGTGACGGAACTTGGAAGCGAGGCTAATGGCGTCGGGGTCATCAAAGACCATTTGTGTCGTCGTGGGAGGACTCTCCGGTGGGGAGGTCACCCCTTTTTCTTTCGACGAAGGTCTCTGCAACTCGTTCGAGAAGCCATAACGCCAATCGCCAGAAAAAGCGAGCAGAGGAGAACCCTTCCTTCTTCTTCTGGTTGCAAGGATTCAAAATCCCTTCCGCAAGGAGAATCTAAGTTGTTGGTGAGCGATGAATTTGGGGCCGACAAGGGAGATTAGAAAGGGTAGGGAGAGGGCTAGCGGCGTCTAGCGGCGGAGGACGGAGGAACAGGGGAAGAGGATAGAGCATTAAGGTATCGCCGTGTAGCAGCGGAGAAGAGAGGGTCGGGATGGGGGGAACGAAGTGCTGGTAGGTTGGATGGGGTAGGTACCCTTTATGTTTTGGGGTGGTTGAATTTGGGTTCAATCAAAATATTGAAAAAACCCAACCCAACTCAAACTAACCAACCCACGGACATAGAGGACTAAAATGAAAGAAAAACTAATTCTATGAGTTGATCTGTAATTTTATTTAATATAAATTCCGAAAAAACAAATCATTTAATAAAATTTAATCTCAGCCGTCGAGATCACACGTACGGTTAAGATCGTCAAGGTACGCCATACCCCGGAATTTACCCGGGGTACGATAGAACTCGCCATATATATATATATGGTGGTGTCTTCGGTGCACTCACTTTTTTGGGTGCATTCAATGCACTCGCTTCATAACCGTCATTTTAAACATGCGATTTATGTCAAAATGATGTCAATCATCACTTATGATGTGATGAACAATAACTGTCGCAACCGTCCCTCCGGGGGGTCCGATGTGTTGTCGCGTCGGCATTTTTGGCCATCGATCTTACTCGGAGTGGATCGAACACTCTTCGAATCGGCTCTACTCTTAGTGTCAGAACCGAGGCATGGTCTGCGAAAATAAAGTTTTGGGTTCGGGAGTACGGTTACGTGTGGGGAAGTTAAGCAACACCCCCACAACGCCCTAAATCGGTACTACTTAAGTCGGTAAGTTTTTATGCGAGTTGGGTGTATTTTAGTAATAATTTTGTAATTTTAGAGTCCCACTGGACCATTAAAAAAATTTAAATCGTATTAATTGTAATTTAATTGTACGTCCACTGACGTAAACGATAAAGTTAATTGGTTAGTTGGACTCGAACCTTATCGGTTGCCTACGTACCCGTTAGACGGGATCAAAGTCCACGTAGTTCGTTTGAACTTTGATAATTTAATTGTAATCACGTTCCACTGATCGTGATTTTTGTATTATAATTGATGTTAATAAAATTTAATTTAATTATTATGAAATTATGAAAAGATAATATAATAATTTAAGTTATTAGGAAGAGGCTTGACTCGTATTGGAAAAGAAACGGGATAAACTTAATCCGCATTTAACATTTCGTATTAAGAACTATAAACAAATAAAGCTAATTTGGATGGTTAAATTAACAAATGATTGTCGGCAGGCCAACTGGTCAAACCGCTAGTCTCCTCAGACCCCAATACCGCGTTTTCGAAACGAACTGACTGCATTTTTTTGATTTTTTTCGTTTTAGTGTGGAGATGGGGGAAGGGCATTCTAGTAATTGCAAAAAAAAAATGCGGTGGCACGGCTGCGTAATTAATGATAAACCTTATGGGCATTTTGGTCTTTACAACCATTGGAGTATATAACTCTCTCTAAAGAAAACCCTAGTTCAGCCTTACCAAAAGCGGTCGCCGCTTCTGCTCTCTCTCTCCTCTCTCACTCGACTCCTTTCTTCTCCAGAGAACAAAAAAAAACGACATCTTCTCTCTCTCTCTCGTTCCTCCTCTCGCCTTTAGAAACCCGAAAACCCTAGCTGCCGAACACCAAAAGAAAACGACGCCCTTCCCCATCTCGAATCTGCTTCTTCCTCTGCTCTTCGCTCTTCCCTCTCGACCGCCGATATCTCTTTTCTCGTCCTCTTGTTTTTCTCTGCCGAAACCCTCTGGGTTTACTCTAAATCAAAACCCTGACTCTTAATCCTACCTCAATCCTCTTCTCTCATTACTGGCCGCGAGAAAACAGCTCGGTCCACAACCAATCTCCTAATGGAAGCCCGAATTAGGTAAGGTTTTAACATGCATGTGGTTTTATTTGACGATTTTGTTGGTTTGAATTTGTTTCTGACCTTCGTTTTCTGATTATTTTTTTTATGGGTTTTGGTTCAGTGAGGAGGAAGAAAAAGGCAGAAGATGAGGATAGACTCCTTTTTGGAATCAGGCAAAAGGATGACTATAACCTCCCTATTTCGATCGGAAATAGACGAACTAGGTAAGATTCTTGACATGCAAAGTCTTTTCAATTCGTTTTAGGTGATTTTATTTGGGATTCGACTAATATTTATTTCATTTTCTTGTGTTTTGGATGTCGTCGACGGCGAGATCCTGCCGATGACGATCTTCGTCTCCAAAAAAGAAAGGTAGGATTTCGGCTCCTTAATATATGTTAATCTATCATTTTTATTATTAACAAAAATAATTAATTTAGTTCGTTCCTTTTTGGTAGGTTTGAAAAATAAATCCAGATCTGGGTAAGGCTCTTCTAACTTCGGTTTTGGTATGACTAGGGATGATTTAACTAAGTAAACGGATTATTATTGTTGATTTGGGATTGATTAGCAGATTTGAGTATTAGAAAGTAAGTTTTGTGAATGAGTTTTGAAGAAAATGGGATTTTGGTGCTTTGATGGGTTTGATGAATGGATTCGGATGTAGTTTTGATATATTAGAAGTTGCTAAAATGATTTTTAATCTAATTAACATAGACTAAATTGCTTATTTTGGCTATTATAAATCACCGCCACTGCCTGTGATTTTGCGAAATTGGTATGGGTTTCAAACTCTGGAATTTATTGTGCTTGAGTGATTTTTGTTGGATTTGGATCCAGGTTGATCCAAGGACTTAGGAAAAGTTTGTTTTGATTGTTATATAAAAAAAACTATGTACTATATCTTGTTTTACTTTAATCTGTACATGTATATGTATGTATGGCTACGAATGAGGAACATCTAAACATGGCAAAAAGAGTTTAAAACAAAACATCCAACTCTCTAGTCATAATTAAGTTAATCGGTATAATAGTAATCTCATAGCCCAAACTATTAATATGAGAAGGAAAAAAACTTTAATGATAGAGTTTAATGAAATTGATAAGAGTAGATCTTGATAAATAATATTTGACCATCACATAGCTTGTATTGGAAAATAATCGTGAGTATAAATATGCAAATAGATGGATGATTGTATAACGTCATAACGATTGTGTAAATTTGATGTCATAACGATTGTGTAAATTTGATAAAATGAAGTCGATACAAGTACCAACCTGGATCAAGGCCTAAGAATGGCCTTTCCCTACAACGATCTTCAAATCTGCTCCTTCAATTTCACATTTTCCCCACTGAACTTCCACTGAACTTTGGCTAAGGGCAGGAACAAAAAGACGATACCTTTGCAATGTGTATGTTTCTATTTTTTTTTTTTCTGTTTTTCTCCTCCTCCCCCCCTAAAACAAAGAGCCCCAAGAGCTCATTTATAGCAAAAAAGCTGTCCCGCGTGTCTTTTCTTCATTGGTCGATTTTGAGGCCCATTGTGAGGCCTCCAACACAGTTGGTCGGTTCTGCCTGGTCAGGATAGGGTTGGCAGTTAGCACACAGTTTTAAGCTGAAATGGCAGAGCTGTGGGCCTGTATTTTGGGCCGACTTGGCCTTCGTTTGGGCTTGGATGTTTGTTGGGCCGAGCTCTGGGCTTGGAATCAGGCCTTGATCTGACTGGTTTTCTCTTATGTTCCAGGTCTCCAGGGCTGGGCCTAAAATGAGGGGCTGAAGAAAAGAACTAGTCTTTCTTTGTACATGTAGAATTTGTAATGGCCCATGTAATTACATTTTCCTTCAATGTCGATGCAAATTACGATGTAAGAAATCAATTAGCAAAGTTTATTTTAGTCTTTACTGATTCGTGCTCTATATATTGTAATTTGTATCAACATCCAAAACAGGAAGCATACTAAATTCCTAATCTCAATGCGTAGAACAATAATTGATAATCATTGGTTCATATCGACTTGCTACTGCTAGTCTCAACCAATTCACTTCAAGTTATCTTTCCAAATATAATTGTAAAGCAATGTTACATCGAGTTGTTTTTTTAGTAGAACGATTACCCCGGACAAAATGTGGTGTCTACAATAACGCACATGAATTTGCACAAAAACCATTAAAGATTTACTTTAATTTGAAAGATTTAGAGTTAAGAGATTTAGGGTTAGGGTTAGGGTTTACAATTTGGGGTTTAGGGATAGAACTCAAAATTGGAGGTCTAGGGCTTAGGATAATTCGCTAATTAGTTGTTAGCATATGTTATATCATCATATTACACTAATTCTACAAATTAAAATTCAAAATCTGACACCTTAAGACTAGTTTTTGAGTTGGGTGGATTGAACGCACTCATTTTTGTGAGTGCACCGAAGTGGTCACCTATATATATATATATATATGGTGGCGTATTCGGTTTGCACCCACTTTTTTGGGTGCATTCAATGCACTCGCCTCATAATCCTCATTCCGAGCATACGATTCATGTTCAAACGAGATCACCCGTCTTTTATGATATTATGAACAAGAAACACTTTAATATACAAAAAAAAAATCAAGATTTACTTTTCTTGCTGTTCCCGGAATACAATAAAAATCACATAACTTCTACTTGATTGAAGCTTGGAAACAACATTAAAAGACGTAAAAGAACAACAACCAACCTTTGAAAGAAAGACATAAAATAAACTCTTAACTCACTAACCACCAGAAACTAGATCAAAAGAAGGAAATCTCGTTCACCTTTTCCATGAGAAGGAAATGACTCTATTATATGTCAATTATGTTGGTCTTGATTCCTAAAGATGCCAAGCAAAGTTAAAAATAAAAAACTGTAACTGTGTGCATTCGATATTCTTTAACATAACATCAAGCGATAACTAAATTAGCCAACAATCTATAAACATAATCTACTTACTGGTCCATGTTAAATGATAGTTCCTGAAACTGCCATTCTTCAACAAAGGGATAAATCAGTTGGGAGGAGAACATCAGTCCTGAGATAGTGAGATTGTTGGATCAAGAAACAAATAAAAAAAGAAAGCCTTCAGCCTCGAACATACATCGTCCGTAGATAAATAGCTTCTAAAACCAACCATAGGCATCAAACACTTTGCTTAAAAGCTGGAGCGCAAAAGAAACATGAAAGCCAAAACATTTATCACACCAAACATGCAAAAAAGCAAAATCAAAGGTGAAATATGAGTTTTAAAACTCATGAGCATCAAAAAAACTCATCCACAAGAAGTTACCATCAAAATCAATGGCAAACCGACAAGCTCCTTCAGGACACAATTGAGAGTTCAAACGAAGGTGTCTTCGCATCCAACATCCTTTACTACCCAAACAGAAATAGCCAAACACATATTAAAGCAAAAGAAGAAACAAAAAACTTAAGAACAAAAGAAAAACATAACTGAAATTGTAAAAACAAACACAACATTGGCAAATAATGGGAAAATGAACACAATGGAAAAGCAGATAAAGGAAGGAAGTCACAACAGCCGACGCGACATTGGAAAATAGAGAAGAGAATAGCTCTTCTACTTCTTCCTATTCTTCAGTTTCTTTCCCATAAACCAGTGATTCTGGTCTCCCAAACAGAGGATGGAAACTCACCATCTAACCAATCCGCCAACAAACAACAGACAACCTGTATCCCATAGCAAACTCATTCCCGATGTGGCTTTAAGTTTGATGAATACATTGAGAAAACAACGGTTCAGCAGAAGTCAAAACCCTAAAGTTAAGCAAAAAATGAAGGGATCGGTTAGCTTGACTACCCCTAAAAGGTAGTGATTTTTGACACCCCCTTTATGATTGGCCAATTTTATTTCCAATCATAGGCAAGTATTAATTAAACTGGTTTTTTATTTTTTTTAATCTTGTAATTTGGGGTCTCTCACCACATTGGAAAAGAGAAAGAATCTGGGGAAAAACGAAATCACCCCCATTAATTACATAATTAATTTCTCTCACTGGTACATTAATTACACGTACCACTCCACTGGTACACGTACCACTCCACTGGTGCGAGCAATCCACAAGGTAGGTTAGAGTGAGAACAAGACCAGTGCAATGATATTTTTCATAACAATGATAAACAATAACGGAGCAACAATGCAGTACCACTTCAATGATACAAATACCACTCCACTGGTACACGTACCACTCCACTGGTACACGTACCACTCCACTGGTACACGTACCACTCCACTGGTGCGAGCAATCCACAAGGTAGGTCAGAGGCGATCCCAGGATGGCGGCAGCTGGAGATAGGAGGATGGTGGTGGGGGAAGGCGCTGGAGGGTTTTGGTCGTTTCAGAGTAGAGGAGGGTTCTGGTTAAAATGAAATCAAAATGGAAAGAGGGCCCAAATGGAGAGAGAAGGAGACGAAAGGAAGAAAAAAAGGCAATTAATTGCACATTTGGGGGGGGGGGGAGCTTTTTTCTGATTCCCCATATTCTTTCCCTTTCCAATGTGGGTGAGAGACCCCAAATTACAAGATTAAAAAAAATAAAAAACCAGTTTAATTAATACTTGCCAATGATTGGAAATAAAATTGGCCAATCATAAAGGGGGTGTCGAAAATCACTACCCCTTTAGGGGTTAGCATAGTATCCCACCCCAAAAATGAAAAAGAAGCTCGAAACTCACTCTTCAACTAATCAGTCGACAGACAACTTGTATCCCATACGCAAGCTCATCCCCGGCGTGGCTTTAAGCTCGGTGAATCAATTGATAAAACAATGGCTCAGCAGAACCATCGCCAGGCCTCCATCCGTACCAGCCTTCGTCGTGATTGTGTAGCCTACTTTAGAGCTCCATTCAAAGAAGAGTGTTGAGAATCGAGTCAGGAGCTTCATACCACATGAGAGTACGTATGTTACTTCACAAAGACAAGGCATTAGATTATTGATTGCTTACCTAGAAGGCTTCGATTAAAAGGTTCAATGATTAACATCAAGGTTGTTTTGTTGTTTGAAGCTGAAGGCGGCAGAGTTTAGTTTTCCTTGTTGCATTCGGATTAGGACTGTTTTTGTTTCCATGTTTAATTTGACTTTCCTTGTTGTTTTATGTTAATTGTTAGGCTCTATTTAAACACATGAAGGGTCTGATAAACGACGGATTATGATTGATTAAGATTAAACCCTAAAACAGAGTTTTTCGTGCCTTGTTTTTGGTGAGAGTTTGGCCGAGAAAACCAAGCTCGGTTTGAGCTCTGTATCGAACAATCACATTGATCGTAGGCGAGCAGCGACTTATAATAGTTGAGCCTTCCTCCAGGTGTAGGATCGCACACAATTTCCATCCATCATCATTCTTTTCACTCGGCAAGACTGTTTGGGAGTTTTCCGAGGAGTCCATCCTGTTTTCGAAGCTTGAAATTCCAAGCTTGAGTTCTAGAAATCGAAACCATCCCTTTTGGGGTGTATTACCCAACCGACCAATTACAAAAGCATGTAAAACTCGTCCACGACCCAAAATTCGTGAACATCGAGCTCAACTCGCTCTAACTAGATCAAATTAGGTCGAATACCCATTGATTTAAACTTGTAAAACTTGTTGTCGACCAAAAATTTGTCAACACCAGGTTAAACTCACTTTGACCGACTCGACATTAGGTCGAATACCCATTGATTTAAGCGTGTAAAATTGGTTGTCGACCCAAAATTCGTCAACACTTGGTTCAACTCGCTTTTATCGGGTCGAATTAGGTCAAACACCTATTGATTTGGGTTGAATTTGAGTACGGTTGTTATCAGTTAATTAATTAGGTAAAGCATGTAAAACTCGTCCTCGACCCAAAATTCATTAACATTGAGTTAAACTCGCTCTAATTGGGTCAAATTAGGCCGAATACCCGGGTTCAACTTGCTTTAAACGGGCCGACATTGATATAAGCGTGTAAAACTCGTTGTGGACCCAAAATTCGTCAACACTGGGTCCAACTCGCTACCCATTGATCTGAGTTGAATTTGGGTACAATTGTTATAAGTTAATTAATTAGGTAAAGCATGTAAAACTCGTACTCAACTCAAAATTCGTTAACACCGAGTTCAACTCGCTCTAATCGGGTCGAATTAGGTCGAATACCCACTGATTTAAGCGTGCAAAACTGGGAAAATTCGAACGGGTTCAACTCGCTTCCCATTGTTTTCGCTTGAATTTGGGTTCAATTGTACCTTAATGGCACAAAATTTAAAGAACCAAATTTCCTCTTCTTTCTCTTCCCAAAAAGTTGAATACACCCCAATTTCCCTCTTCTTTTAAAAGCATCAAATTACCAAAAACATTGCTTTACTTTATTTAGATGTAATTGATAATTTCATTGAATAGTTAAATTAACCAAAAATTTAATTTATATATTATCTTAATACTTTCCATGATCTCAATTATTAATTATTAATATTAACATTGTGTTGATTTTATATTTTATATTTACTTTTTAATTTTTTTTGAAGAACTTAGTGTTCAAGTGACGTTCATGTTTCAATTTTTGTAATTTTCTTAAAATACATAATATCACGTGAGTTTCATATTTTTAAATTTCCTATACGAAATGAAAAAAATAATTTTACCTAAGTTTAGAATGAAAAATTTTATTTTGAAAAACTATGTATTGTATATATAATAATTATTCAAGTGAATTATGTGAAGTTCGGGTTGAGTCGATCGGGTTACTGGTTAGTCGGGTTTGGTTCAATCGGGTTCGGGTTAATCAGGTTGCGGGTTAGTTGGGTTGAGGGTCAATCGGGTTGGTGGTCGGGCGGGTTACAGGTTGACCTTTAGTCAATTGGTTGCGGGCAGGTTGCAGGGCGGGTTAATCGGACCGGGTTCTGTTTTGCACCTATAGCTGCAAGACTATAACAATACTAGCACGAAATCCCGCACTGTGAATTAAGTAACTTGAAAATATAAATATACAATAATATATTAAATTTGTCAACACCATGTTTACGTGATTTAATCGGATCGAATTAGGTTGGATTCCATCTATAAAATGACATTGTTTTGTTTTTAATACGAACTAGGAAACACGAACTATTAAGAATGTGTCATTTTATAGATGGATAACCCTAATTCGATCTGATTAGGTTGTTTTTAACATTGTTTTGTTTTTCACAAAATGGGGGTCATGTTTAAACAAAAATTTACATCCGACACAACCTGTTAATTATAAAAGTAGGTAAAACTTAGACCCTAAAGTTGTAAACACCCATTTCATCCCGCTTTGACCATGTTGAATTAGGTTGTTTTATTTGAATTATATATTATCATAGAAACTAATATTAGAAATATATCTACATAAAGTGACATTATTTTTGTTTTTTTATGGATCAAATAGAAAAAGGCCCGAGTTTTAAAACATAAGCCACAATGTGGATATATTCTTCATGAAAGAGCAAGTATTGCAGTTAATTTTTACGTCAGCATATATCATTGAGTTAATGCATGCTAAATAGTCCTTCTATGACGAATAAGTTCTGCCAATCAATCTTCTGACCTAGATACGGAAATGCATATATCGAACTTCATGAAGCTAAATTTTAGTTTGCTGGAAATTTTGAAAAATGGTGGCAAGATATGTAAAATTATTATTACACAAAGCATAGTCCTCTACTCATGAAAATGATAATATCTTTTCATTCCCAGGATTCGACAGCTAATGTTAATACTTCATATAGGAAATGCCCCAAGACCAATTATGTTATGTTCTAAAAAGCAAGATACTGGATAGGACACAATTGATTAAAAACCTGCAATCTGGCAAGACCGTGCTAATACATGTATCTTTTACAACAAAAAAAAAAAAAAAAACAAACAAACAAACAAACAAACAGAAAGAAAACCATATACGTATTGGCATTTCCCAGCTGCAGAAGACCACCAATTCGCAGCATTGAGCTTCCTCACATTGACTTCTATTATTCTGATCCTCTTTAATATGTGTCCTTACATAGTACGCATAATCAGTTTCCTTGGCAAGAAAGGCGTATTGGTCTCTTGAAAACTAGTACATAACATAACTGGATTGTAAATGTTCAAACCTTTGGTAATCCAAAATCAGCAAATTGAAAGCAATTAAGGGTTCAATATATTTGGTACGAATCAGCAAATCAGGGGAAAAAATCCCAAAGTACACACGTTCTTAAAAAAAATTCCCAAAATACATGAGTTATAAAAAAATTTCCCAAAGTACACATGTTTGAGCATCACCGTTTTAGACAAACGCGGTGAAGATCATCACCGCGTTTGACGAACACGGTGAATACTTCATCGTTTTAAACAAAAACGGTGAAGTATTCACCGTTTCAAACCAAAACGGTGAAGTTTTCACCGCGTCAATTAAGAACGGTGAACACATCACCGTTTTGGTCAAAAACGGTGAAGCCTTCACCGTTGTTAACTAACGCGGTGATCATTTCCCACGTTTCCCACCCCTGGTAGGTCAAAATTAGGTCGCAGCTACCACCTATTCACCGTCTGAGACAAACGCGGTGATAGTGTTCACCGTTTTTGACAAAAACGGTGAACAGTAGGCAGATTTTCCTATAAATAGCACACCACCAGCAGTTGTAAAAACATAACCACTCCCCTTTCTTCAAATTTCAGCAGCCAAAATCGAGCATAATACACAGAACAGAAATTTTTCGGTATGTTGAGACTTTTCGTATTATAGTCTAATTATGTTTTTAGTAGTTATAGTATGATTTAATTTTCGTATTATGTTGTTGTTAGTTAGTTGAACTTATGTTCGTTAGTTATAGTATGATTTAATTTTCGTATTATGTTGTTGTTAGTTAGTTGAACTTATGTTCGTTAGTTATAGTATGATTTAATTTTCGTATTATGTTGTTGTTAGTTAGTTGAATTTATTTTCGTTAGTTATGGTATGATTTAATATTAGTTGTACAATATGATTTTGGTTAATTTTACTGTCTTTAAGCTAATAGATACTTATTGTAAATTGTAGATATGGGTAAATTCAAGAAGTTTCATCTTACTATTCGGTGGAATGGAAGGGTGACAAACTCTGACATAGGCATTGATTATGAGGACGGCGAATCCATTATGCTGAAAATTGAATCCCGATTCAATTTTCAAGAACTCTATGATCTTTGTGCAGAAAGGGTTTGTACGAGCGGACAGACGAGACTTGGCAAAATTACTTACCGGTATCCAGACATGAGTGCTGGCGGGGTCGTGTTCCAAGAAGTTGTCATAAACGATGATGACGCGGTTATGATGATGTTACAGTTCCTAAGCGATAACCAAGTCCGGCTTGCAGAGGTGTATGTTGAGACCGAGGCGCTCGGTGAATCTCATTCTCACCAGTATTCTTATGATGATGGTTTTGCAGGAGGGTACGAATGGGGTGGTAGTTCGAGCAACTACCAAGGCGGTGGTTATACAGGAGGTTACGGGGAGGGTGGTGGTTCAATCAACTACGGTGGATCGAGTAGTGCAGGATGGGACCAATACTCGCAACCTCCTAAACCAGCCCCATTTGTTGAGGGCGATGGTGTTCAATGGCCTGCTTGGGGGCCAGAGTGGTATGGAATCGAGAATACCATTCGATCAGGGCGTACTTCACATGAGCGAGAGGACGATGTTGGTGATCGTGGTCATGTTGATCCTTCTAGCTCGAGCTATCCATTCGAGTCAAGCGACGAGGATACTGAGGAAGATTTGATATCAGTGAGCGAGGAGGAGGAAGATACTGATGATAACGAGGATGAGGCGGCATTTCGTGAGGCACCCACGCCATATTACACACAGGTTCCAACTCAATTTTTACATAGTCAGAATGATCCCCCCGACTTTGTCCCTATGCCAGTGTACAATCCGACGGCCAATCTGGAGGTGGGTATGGCGTTCACATCGAAAGACGCTGTGCAGGATGCATTTACAGAAGAGGCGTTGAGGCGCAATTTCGAGTGGAAGGTAAAATATTCTGACAGTAAACAATTACATGTCATATGCAAGCATGATGCAGAGGGTTGTACATGGCAACTGCGGGCTGCAAATATGAAGAGAAAGGGTGCTTGGGTGATTCGCAAAGCTGAGACGATCCACACATGCTCCTCTTCTATACTTTCCCAAGATCACAGGCAACTAAAAGCAAAGAAGGTTGGGAGAACTATTAAGCACCTTATAGAAGCACAACCAGATATCAAGGTGAAAGCTATCATGGCAGAGGTGAAGGATCGACATTCTTACACGATAAGGTACAAAAAAGCATGGCATGGTAAGCAGAAAGCCATGGCTGAGGTGTATGGTGATTGGGAGGATTCGTATGCTTTACTCCCTAGACTTATGGGAGCAATGGAGGAGTCCAATCCTGGGACTGTTTTCGTCCCAGTATACAACAATGTATACACTGAGGATCAAGTTCGAGTACAGGATAAGCTGATGCTCCCATACCCACAGTTGAACGATGAACATCGCAGCACCAGCTTGCTTTGCCCCAACCTTCGAGCAAGTACACAGCTCCCGGTATACGCCCGCTAGCACGGCCGATCCCCAACTCTTCTCTCCAATTGCATCCCAGTCACCGGTGAGCAATGGCAACCATATGCCTTGAATCCACCGGTTGGACTTGTCGGGGAACAAAAATCCACCCACCAAACCGATGAGGTAGATGCGGGCGTAGCGCTCGACTTGTTCTTCCGGTGTCTCGTCATTGATTTCCACCTCTTGCTGGATGTGAGATACCAGCCACGGGACCGACACTTGCCCCGCATTCAACGGTGGATGCCCCCGTCCTTGATTTGGTGTGGTGGTCGGCATGTCGAAGCCCAAACGATCACGGATGAGCGGCCCCCAACCTCCTCCGGGTTTGGTCGTGTTCCCAATGATGGCATCTCCAGATATAGGAAGCCCGGTGAGGATCGCCACGTCTTTGAGGGTGATCGTCATTTCCCCCTCCGCAAGGTGGAATGTATGGGTTTCGGGACGCCATCGTTCCGCCATTGCCGTAAGCAGATCGTTATCGATCTCGATCCGCAAGAAATGGCGCAACATTCCCAAACTGGTCCTCGCTATATAGGGCTCCAACCTTGGATGCCAAGCGGGCAAGTTATTGGTCCCTTTATGAACCACGGGAACAAGAGATTCCTAAAAAAAAAAGGAAAAACATCAATTTATTAGATTAAATAAAGCAAAATAAAACATTAGAAAATAATAAAATAAAGCAAGTCAGTTCATCAAATTACCGGATTGTTATCCCAAATGGCACGGGAGCGATGCATTTCTTGATCGGTTAAGAGACTCGCATCCCTTGGGCCATAATGGATATACAATCGAGGATCGTATATCTCGGCACCCATCTATAAAAAAGTAATGAAATCAGAGATTGTTTTGATAAAAAAAAATCAAATTGTTTCGATTAAAAAAATCACAAACCAAAAACCTACACGAAGAGCCTCTTCGTCCATTATTGGCGTAAGCCGGACAGAGGTTCGACGGGTTTAGCTTTGTAAGGGACGGGAACTTAGCGGGACGGGGGCTTTAGGGTCAAACTCTAGTAATTCTTTCTGATGTGGAAGATCGTACTTAGCCGCAACCACAGAGCATACTTAGAACGAGACTAGAGCGGATAAATTGAGGGAGAAAGAAGTGAAATGTTTGTGGGGTGAGTTGAAAGTGAAAGGGGAAGGGGGTATTTATAGTTGGGGGAAGGGGGGGAGGAGCTGCTGCGCAGTAAATGTGGGGGAGCATTCACCGCGTTTGATGAACGCGGTGAAGGACTGGCATTCCCCGAAACCTGTTCCCCGTCCACGTGGCTTGCTGTGAGGCGTCGGATCGTGGGAAGAAAACCACGATCCGCGCCTCACCGCATCTAACGGCCACGATGAAAGCACACTGGCGCGGATCGCTGACGTGGCAGACACGGGTTATTCACCGTGTTTGTCTAACGCGGTGAATACCCCGTGTCTGCCACGTCAGCAACTTCACCGCGTCCTAGAAAAACGGTGAACTGCTCACCGTTTTTAATTAAAACGGTGATTCTTTCACCGTTTCAGTTTAAAACGGTGAGACATTCACCGTTTTAGACAAAGACGGTGAAGGCATCACCGTTTTACTTTAAGACGGTGAATTGTTCACCGTTTTAGTCTAACGCGGTGATATCCTTCACCGCGTTTGTCTAAAACGGTGATGCTCAAACATGTGTACTTTTGGAATTTTTTTTATAACTTATGTATTTTGAGAATTTTTTTTAATAACTAGTGTACTTTGGGATTTTTTCCCAAATCAGGCTTATGATATTCATTGAGAAAGCACGCAGATTTTGTTTGTATAAACTACCTTGGGTATGACTGTTTCAGTTGGCCTACTTTGCAGGTCTGGTTCTCTCAAATGGGTCGATGAAAATTCGAGATTAAGGTTTTGTTTTGAAGTTGGAGTATCCCTCTACAAGTTGGAATGTGTGGGTGCTCGAGGAGAAGTCAGAAAGTTCATTTTCGAAGCTGTTCAAAAGCCTCGGCTAAAACCGAGAAACTGCACGAAAATAGCGAAGTCTAGAAACGTGATTGTGTAGCCTACTTTAGAGCTCCATTCGAAGAAGAGTGTTGAGAATCGAGTCAGGAGCTTCATACCACATGAGAGTACGTATGTTACTTCACAAAGACAAGGCACTGGATTATTGATTGCTTACCTGGAAGGCTTCCATTAAAAGGTTCAAAGATTAACATCGAGGTTGTTTTGTTGTTTGAAGCTGAAGGTGGCAGAGTTTAGTTTTCCTTGTTGCATTCAGATTAGGACTGTTTTTGTTTCCATGTTTAATTTGACTTTCCTTGTTGTTTTATGTTAATTGTTAGGCTCTATTTAAACACATGAAGGGTCTGGTAAACGACGGATTATGATTGATTAAGATTAAACCCTAAAACAGAGTTCTTCGTGCCTTGTTTTTTGTGAGAGTTTGGTCGAGAAAACCAAGCTCGGTTTGAGCTCTGTATCGAACAATCACATTGATCGTAGGTGAGCAACGACTTATAATAGTTGAGCCTTCCTCTAGGTGTAGGATTGCACACAATTTCCATCCATAATCATTCTTTTCACTCTGCAAAACTGTTTGGGAGTTTTCCGAGGAGTCCATCCTGTTTTCGAAGCTTGAAATTCCAAGCTTGAGTTCTAGAAATCGAAACCATCCCTTTTGGGGTGTATTACCCAACCGACCAATTACAAAAGCATGTAAAACTCGTCCCCGACCCAAAATTCGTGAACATTGAATTCAACTCGCTCTAACTAGATCAAATTAGGTCGAATACCCATTGATTTAAACTTGTAAAACTTGTTGTCGACCAAAAATTTGTCAACCCCAGGTTAAACTCACTTTGACCGACTCGACATTAGGTCGAATACCCATTGATTTAAGCGTGTAAAACTGGTTGTCGACCCAAAATTCGTCAACACTTGGTTCAACTCGCTTTTACCGGGTCAAATTAGGTCAAATACCTATTGATTTGGGTTGAATTTGAGTACGGTTGTTATCAGTTAATTAATTAGGTAAAGCATGTAAAACTCATCCTCGACCCAAAATTCATTAACATTGAGTTAAACTCGCTCTAATTGGGTCAAATTAGGCCGAATACCCGGGTTCAACTTGCTTTAAACGGTCCGACATTAATATGAGCGTGTAAAACTCGTTGTGGACCCAAAATTCGTCAACACTGGGTTCAACTCGCTACCCATTGATCTGAGTTGAATTTGGGTACAATTGTTATAGGTTAATTAATTAGGTAAAGCATGTAAAACTCGTACTCAAGTCAAAATTCGTTAACACCGAGTTCAACTCGCTCTAATCGGGTCGAATTAGGTCGAATACCCACTGATTTAAGTGTGCAAAACTGGGAAAATTCGTTTAATAACGGGTTCAACTCGCTTCCCATTGTTTTCGCTTGAATTTGGGTTCAATTGTACTTTAATGGCACAAAAACTCATTGTCGACAAAATATTCGTCAACACCGAATTCAACTCGCTTTAATTGGTTCGAATTAGGCAGAATACCTACTGATTTGTGTTGAATTTGTGTTCAATTGTCATAAGTAAATTAATTAGAACCTTAATCATAATGGCACAAAAACTTCTCCAAACTTTTATTAATTACAAAAAGAGCACAATTTGTGAAACGTGATGTGACTCTATGAAATAGTATGAGTTAATTAATTAATGATTAAGTCTTACCCAGTTTGCTGAAATTAAATCAATCGCAGTCATCATCGGGTTTTATTAAACCTTAGACATCTTATCTACCGCGCCTCCCTCTTGTACCAGATACTGAATTCCGAGCTCCAATTTCACCTAACCAGTTGAATTAATGTTACGGTCGAGAACAGACCACTAATTGTATATATACACACACATTGCCCTAAGTTTCCTCCGTGAATCGCCATAGACAACACACACCTCCAATAGTCCAATGGTGATGATAGAAGTAGTACTACTCTTTCTCGTCTCCCTCACCATCCTCATCGTCTCCTTCCTCAACAGAAAAACAACAACTAGCAGCTCACGACTGCACAATAAGCTTCCACCAAGCCCATGGGCCGCTCTGCCCATCATCGGCCACCTCCACCTCCTCGGTCCATCCATCCACCGATCCTTCCACCGCCTCTCCGCCGCCGCTCCACTGCTCCACCTATGGCTCGGCTCCGTCCAGTGCGTCGTCGTTTCGACCCCGGACGCCGCCAGGGAGGTCCTCCGCACCCACGACCTCACCTTCTCCAACCGGAAGCAGACCATCGCCGTCCGCCGCGTGACCTACACGAACTCCTCCTTCGCCTTCGCCCCTCACGGCGCCTACTGGAAGTTCGTCAAGAAGCTCAGCGCCTCCGAGCTGCTGTCCCCCAGGATGCTCCGTCGGCAGCTCGGCGTCAGGGCCGCGGAGCTGCGGCGGTTCCTGGCCTCGGTCAGGGAGAAGTCGCGCGGCGGGACGGAGCGCGTGAACATCACGGAGGAGCTGATGACGTACTCCAACAACGTAATCTCGCGGATGATGCTGGGGTCCGAGACGGGCGGCGAGCATGCTGACGTGGCGCGGCGGGTGATTCGCGAGGTCTCCCAGATATTCGGAGAGTTCAACGTGTCGGATTTCGTGTGGTGTTTAAGGAAGTTTGACATTCAGGGCTTCAAGAGGAGATCCCACGACATACACAGAAGGTTAGGTCAAATCAAAGCAGTGCACATTTTATTCGTAAAAAACAATCGCAAGGCCATAATTTGTCAAAAATATGCAACCGATTGCATGCACAATTTTAGGATTTAAGATCTATGATTTAGATAATTAAAATTTAGAATTGAATTATATATCAAGGATTGGGGTATAGTATCAAGTCTCAAAATCCAATCAATTTAAAATCTATATATTATTTTCTTACTCAAAGTATACTATATTTTTTATTTTACTCAAAATACTATAGAAACCACCATATATACATTAAAAATGAATTTATGTCATATTTTCAGAATCAAACACTAATGGCCCCATGCATTAGGTACGATGAACTGTTGGAAAGCATAATTGGGAGTCGAGAGCAGACGAGGAAGGAGGAGAGCAAGCGAAATGAAGCTGGTGATGAAGAAGAGAAGGTGAAGGATTTTCTCGACGTTTTGCTGGATGTTATGGAAGACGACGGTGCTGAAATTGAATTAACCAGGGACCATATTAAGGCTTTGGTTTTGGTAAGTGCCTACAGCTTGTTTCAACCAAGGGGAGGGAAAAAAAAAGTCCGTTCATTGAAGAAATTAAGAGTTCATTTGGTAAAGATCGTAATCATTCCATTGATTTGATGCATATCCATATTTTTCATATCATCTAGTTGCTTTTCACATCAAATGAAACGATCGAATGTCATATAGCGAGATGCATTTTAGAATGCTTTCCATCATTTGTGTTTTAGTTTAAAAAAGTAGTCGATACAAATTTAGTTCATACCTATACATTTTAGGAAAAATTCAATTCTTTTACAGTACAAACTGAATTTGTATCTTTATGTATAGTACAAACGACAATAATTGTACCATAACATTGAGGTATAAATTTCTCTATGGTGCAAAACATAACTTATACTTTTAATGTTAAGATACAAGTTAAATTCATATCACTAACCACCAATACTTTAGAGTATTAGTAGAAGTTTCATTGAATTTTTTTTTTTTTTTTCTTGTTTGTGTTTATTACTAGGACTTCTTCACGGCAGGTACGGACACAACGGCGGCAACATTAGATTGGTCGCTGGCGGAGCTCATCAACCATCCCCAACTACTCACAAAGGCAAGGCAAGAGATAGACCGGGTCGTGGGGTCCGACCGGCTGGTCCAGGAATCCGACGCTCCCAACCTCCCCTACGTGCAAGCCATCATAAAAGAAACGTTTCGGCTCCACCCAACCATACCCATGATTGCCCGGAAATCGACCCGAGAGTGCCACGTCAACGGCTACACAATCCCCGCCGAGACCTTGCTCTTCGTCAACATGTGGTCGATCGGCCGGGACCCCAACAACTGGCCTGACCGCACGCTCGAGTTCTGGCCCGACCGGTTCGTCCAGTCCGACGTGGACATCACGGGGCAGCACTTCCAGCTGCTGCCGTTTGGCAGCGGGAGGAGGAGCTGCCCCGGGATGCCGCTGGCGCTGCGGCAGCTGCCCACGGTGCTGGCCGCCATGATTCAGTGCTTTGACTGGAAGGTTAAAGGCGTCGACGGCAATGCCGGTTTGGTTAGTATGGATGAACGTCCCGGGTTGACGGTTCCGAGAGCTCATGACCTTGTGTGTATTCCGGTTGCTCGGTTACCCAATATTATCTAATGTCTCCACTAGAAAGTCAGTGTCTCGTGTGATATATTATCCACAAACATGTTCGTACTTATTGGGAGGTGAAATTCGAATTCTATGAACTACTCAAAGTCTCAAACCCTATCTTGGATATTATGGATAATGAATGAGTATAGTTTTTCTCATTATTCAATCTGATCCTACTTGATTATAAATAAGCATGCACTCTTTTTATAAATGGACATTTTTGCTCTTTCATGTACGATATTCATGGTAGTATATATATATAATGGCTTATTCGGTGTACCCACTATTTTAGGTGCATTCAATGCACTCGCCTCATAATCCTCATTCTGAGCATACGATTCATGTTCAAACGAGATCACTCGTCTCTTATAATTTTATGAACAAGAAACACTTTAATATGCAAAAAAATAATAATTCAAGATTTACTTTAATTTGAAG